GTGAGTTGCAATGAAAACCGAAAGAATAAGAAATATATTTGTATTAAACAAAAATTTGCATGCGAGAAAAATAGTTATCATCATAAATAGTTATCATCATAAATAGTTATCATCATAAATAGTTATCATCATAAATAAAGTTATGTCTCGTAATAAGCACATGAAAATAGTGGCCGATGCTGCTACATTAACAGGTATTGCAGCTGGAATCGGAAAGACCTCAAAAAGAGTCAATGACTTCTGATCCGAGTCCTATTTTCATGAACTATGTGAAGTTCACCGGAGTTGTCTCAGCTTCTCTTGCAATAAAATATTATCTTGAAGATTAAGAGCCCTAAAAGATATTGAAAAAGGATTGCCCCCAGTAAAGAAATTACTGCAAGAGACTAAATTTCTGAAGATGTTGCAAGACTTTGGTTGACAAAGCAGGCTATCTGGCAGATTTATTTGTCTACTCCGAAACACATCCCTAGCTCAACCCTACCAGAAGTTGTTTCAGTTTTGAATTGCGAGGTGACTCCATTAACAGGAAAGAAAACTTCTTATGCTATTGAAGCTGCGAAGAGTTAAACCAGTTATTTGAGACCTGTTGGTTTGAAAAAGAAGAGATTGGATTGTTCAAATAATGTGAGGTGCTTGTATGCAGCTGGCCGAGTTGGATGGTGGTCAGAGAAGATCAACTGTGAATGAAGGAGTGCCAGTTCTCTGCTATCTGGAAAATGAACGTGGATTGTCAGAGAAGAGCTTCAAATATTTCCCCAATGAACTGAGCTTTCTCCCGATGTAATTCGTTGTGCCATTTTGATTTTTCGATTCTCAACTTCAGGGAGGGAAAAATCAAAATAGCAAAATGTGCTAGAACTCTAAATCAAAAAAGCAAAATCCCCCACTTATCACAAGCAGTATAATTGCTTTTCTTTCACAGAATATTGTTTTTTGTTGTTTGTTTTTGCTCTTTTTCCATCTGGACTAACGGTAAAGCGCCCGCTGTTTTCTCAGTTGATCGATGTTCCATTGAAATCTTGGCGATCGTCCAAGTTTGGTTTTGTTTTTACTGAATGGTAATCGAACCAATTCCCTGAATTTTCTATCCTCTGGTGACACCAGCGACGAGCTCGTTTTTCTGCCACGGAACATGGGTACATTTTGTGTGAAGGCAAGGAAAAACGTTGGGTTATTTCTCGACTCATCCACTGTCATAAACAAATTGCTGGCCTCAAGGAGTCCATGTGGAATATATATTATGGAGAACTCGATAATACCGATAGTAAATAATTTCAATCACAAACTCATTTGATAAGGACATTTGCTCTTATGGACACTATCATGCAGTCTCAAGTTTTCCACATAAATGGTGTTGACAACTGCTTTTCCGCCTAAAGGTCTTCGTTGAGGAAAACGTTATTATCTTTATTTTCATCTTCATCAATATTATTATCACCAATATCATCATCATCGTTCTCATCAATATCACCATCACTACCATTGTTATTACCTCAGTTATTATCACTATCATGATTATAATTATCATCATAACAAATATTGTTATTATTGTTGCAATAATGACAAGGATGATAGTCATTATTGGATCTACTCGCTCTTCGACCATCTACATCAAATTTACTACAAAATGCGACGTGTGTTATTACAAAGTGCGACAGCTTGCTTTCTTAGAAAGTGCGATGGTCTGTTATTACAAAGTGCGACAGCTTTTTCACATAAAACTATCAGCAATCAAATTGAAAAGTTGATAACTTGGTTTCCTGTCTGTCGAATCCAGTTTCTCCTCCAGGGAGATTGTATTCTGTGTAGTCGCTCCAGTGAGAACTGTTATAAACAAACGTTGACTAGGAGAGAATTCCAAAACTTACGTTCATTTCTTTTGTAATATTTATCGCATTAACGAACCAACCAGATTGAAACTGATTGACACGTCAAAATTAAAGTAGGTTTCAAAGAAAAGCTACCGATTCAATTGATTAAAGGGGAATAAGTTTCTGAAAAAACTGTGGTGCTGCGTCGGTGAGAGAGTATAACAAGGTAAATTGGTATTATCAACTGAGTTTTTAACGTAAAACGGCCATCGTTAAGAGCTTCAAAGCTGACGTTTCGAGCGTTAGCCCTTCGTCAGAGCGAACGGAGAAATTGTGGGTTATCTTCGTATCTATATGCAGAAAATCGAGCTACATAATCGGTGGGAACATGGTAATGAGAAAAACAAGAAGAAAATTAGTTGAATGAAAAGCGGAGGGCCGATTTGAAAGAAAAATTTTTGTTCCAGAAATTTGCGGCTTTCCGAACTGCCTAGATGTAGGGCAAGGCCGCAAACTGCCACATGCTGCTTGGAATGATAGGAGAGATCTAGTGACTGGTTTGAAAGCGTCCTTGTCATTTCTTTCTAGGTCCTTGTCATTTCTTTCTAGGTCGCGAAGGTGTTCTCGAAATCGGTCATCAAGTCGTCTTCTTGTTTCACCAATGTATAACTTTTTGCAACTAGTGCTAGTTATGGCATTAGTAGAGTGCACGTGAAGTGACCAGTAATCTTAATGGATCTCTCAGGTCTCGACATTTTCTCTACGTTATGCATATGGATGAAAGGTGAGGTTTTGTATCGTGTGCGAGCGCGTTCCAAAGTTCCAAATTGGTTATTAACTTGTAATAAACTTCTGACTGAAGAATGGCCTATGTTTTAGTGGCGTTTGAATGAAATTAGTGGAGGTTGCGAAAAGATAGTACCAGTGTCTGAATAAATTTGAACTAATTGAAAGTTTCTAATAACGATAGATTTAACTGCGTGGTTGTGAGGGTGAAATGTGAGAGTGAAACAACGACAGAAACAGAATAGCTACGTTTATCGAAAAACTGGAGCATTGACTCTGACTTGTAATCAGTCGATCAGTTGATTTGATAAGTTGATTTGATCATAATTTTTAGAGCGCGCGGACACAGTGAGAGAACCAGTCTAGATCATCAAAAATTGCAGTGGACTCACTCTTTCCATAAGCACACGTAAGAAATGCTTGATACGTTTCCCATTCATTATCATCAATGAAAGAAAATCGGTGTGTTTCTTAAGATTAAAGATTTATAGGACGAGTGAACAGAATGGGGCTATTCCTTATAATTCAAACTCCAAGTTATGCAGCAATTTGCACTGTGTAAGGTGGTTCAGAGAAAAAAACCAACATGTTTAGTATTACAGCTAGCCATTATCGCTATTAAACCATCTTTGTCTAGTACACTTTGTAAAAGTGCAGATCACGTGAAATCAGGAGCTCTGAAGCTCCCTCTGAAGGAAATTAAGGGTGAATACAAGTATCAATTAAGTGACCATTTGAGCAGCGTCAAACGATCATAATGGGACGATCAAGAAGAAGTCAAGGTGTGTTTTAAAAGTTCGTTGTTTCTACATATACATGAAAAAAAATAAGACATAAAACAAGAAAAACAACAAATAAAAACACCTTGCTGCCGTCAATCTTCATGACTGGTGTCCAACCTCCATCTCCACATCCAAAATCTCCCATGTGGCAAAAAACGGGAACTGGGTTTGAGTCAAGAAGGAGTGTCACCACACCACTCTCAAGCGTCCTTTTCATTAAAATAAACAATAACATTAGTTTTTGTTTTGGTTTTTGTTTTTTTTTTTACTTAAAAGAAGTTTAGAAGCCCAAGAGTTACACAATGGCTCAGAGTTGTCCTCGATACGCCGGCTGCATTGAAGCATCTCCGCCGTTGATGATCGACAGTAAATAATTCAATCGTTTACTTAAGTGAACAGGAAAGGATTGCTATGTGTGTAGAATGAGATTGTCATTTTCAAAATTATTTGACGCAATTTGTATGGGGCTTTGGGTCTCCTGACGTTGAACGCTACTTATTAAAAAGAGAAAATAAACAACAACAAAAACAACGATTATGATTAAAATAGCAACAGCAAACCCACCCAAAGAAGAGAAAAAAACTAGAAGGTACGAAAAAACTTAAGGTAAACTTTTTAACTGTCGGTAAATTCGTGAATCGTCATCAACTTTCCATTTTACTCACATTTGCTGATGATATTCATGCTTACACCTCCAAGCTGCAAAACGAAAAGATGATTGCGATTATAAGAAACTGTCAATTTTCAGTTTTTTTGCGACACAATTATAGTGACTATGCAATTAAAATTTAAAAATTAATATCTGACAAGCAATTCTGAATTTATAGCCGTGATACGCGATCACATTCCTCACACCATTCGTTAAAATCGAAGTCAGTTGAGCGTTTATAAGTTAATACCTCCGACGATATTTCCATCCTTCTTGCTAAAACTAATTTTTAATAATGCTAAAATAATACCTTATACAATACACTAGAGGTATTTACACTACAATACTATTTAAACAACCATTGTTTACGTTAAATCAGAAAAAAGCAAAGGGGAAAATGCAAAATTTCCAACCAATGTTGATCATGCCCGTCCTTAGTAATTGCAGCTTTTTCAGGTGTCTCACACAAGTTTGACAAATTTATTCTACTTCTCGTCGTCGAGTAATTGTGGCCGTTTCCAAAAATATTTTTCAGTTATTATTAAAACTTTTATCAAAAAATTTTTGTCTTCAACGTTACCCAGCAACGGCTTCTAACTATCACCTTTACGGTTCCGTATTTCATACTAGAACAGTAGTTGAGTTAAAGCGAAGCACAGACATGATCAAAATTATTTGGAAGGAATTAAAGCCCCCTTAACTCTACAGATTGGTCAATTCTGAGTGGCTGCTTTCAGTTGATCCTGAAAACCCAGATTTAGACTAAATTCCATAATTCGCCCTCCCATACGAGACGAGGAGTACTCGTTATTTTTCATGACAGGTATCCTTTACTCCTTGCCTAGGAATCAAGTAACTTAAGTAACTTTGAGACAGCTTTACGTTTTCGGTTGAAACGTTCAAAAGGTAAATTTGGGTTCTCAAGCAAACCTTCACTACCGTTATTTTTCCCAAAGAAAATGTTTTGATTTACTTACGTTCGCATTCTCGGCCATTTCCGGTGAATCCGGGCTTACAGTCGCAATTGTACGATCCTTCGGTATTATCACAGAAGGCATTAAGACTGCAGTTATATGACCCTTCAGCACACTCGTCAATATCTAAAAACATTAAAACAAACATGAACACAAACATCAAAACCAACAACGGAAATAGTGTACTTGACAAACGGCTGAATTACAGCATCTCACCCATTACCTACAAGTTTAGTTACCAGCTCAACTAACACCCACCTGCTCATTTTTCATTTTCATGACAAAGCTTTTGTTTGATTTTGTATCTTTGTTTGTTTTGAACGTTTATTTGGTTTACACTGACATATCATATTTGTTTCTTAAATGCATCAGCCAGTTCGTTTAGCCCCAACGGTACTTTCTGAAAATAAAACCCTTAGATCTTTTCACTAATCAACTAGATACTTATATCCCGATCAGAAAAAAGGTAAACTTCGGTTCTCAAGCAAACCGTGCGGTTTGCGTGCGGTTTTTTGCTACTTCTGTCTGTTAGGGTTGATTTCACTCTTCTTCTACGCTGCATTTCTATGCTGAAAAATTTTTTGTCTCTATTCGTGAAAGCCTTTTGAACCTTTTTGTAGATTAGTTTTGTTCCAGGAAACAATCGATTACCTTCGCATTTGTGCCCATTTCCAGTAAATCCAGGTTTGCAAGCACAGGTGTGGGATCCTTTGGTATTGTGGCAAATTGCATTTTGACTGCAATTATGTATATGCGTAACACACTCGTTGATGTCTAAAATAAATGAAAAAAGAAAACAGCAGATGATCAACTTGTAAAAGTAAAGTTTTTTCCTCATTAATTATTTTGATTTTGACAAAATCTTAATAGTTTCTCGGTAACCTAAGTCGTAATGCTGAGAACTGAACCTTCGCAGTCTCGGCCATTTCCAACGAATCCAGGTTTACATGTACAGTTGTACGACCCGTTGGTATTGTTGCAAAAGGCATCAATACTGCAGTTGTGTAACCCTTCAACACATTCACCAATGTCTGAAAGAATGAAATATTCAATCATTAATAATAGAACTACTTGTAAGTCGTCTAGTGACCCGCCATCTATCTGATTTTACATCATAAAGTCTTTGTATGGTCGCTCACACCGCTTATTTATTTTCTTTTCAATAATTATCAAATTAAAATAAGAAACAAACGAAAACGCTTGAACAAGTAAATTAATCAATAAAGAATGGTCAGATAAAAGGACTGTTTCAGTGTTCTGTCTATGAAGAAGGAAAACTTAATAACTTTGATAAAATAACTGAAATACTACAGCTCCTGATTGGTCAAAAACCTATCGTTTATCGCACCGGTAAAGCCATAGTTATTCCATAAAAGCAACAGACCGCACTTTATATCGGTTTACCGCCGTAGTAACTCACTTGAGTTGTTGAAGAACAATCGGAACTATTGTTAATCACGAGGAGGTGGCGATAGAAAGTTAACTGAAAGTAAACAGGTAGAAAGTGCGGTTTGTTGCTTAAAGAATCGACTGTCCAACACAAGGTCAGTAACCATTTCATTTTCCTGAAAAGGAACCTAACCCTAAATGCCAAATGAAGTAATGATTGTATTATTTACCTGTATTAAAATCGGCCTCACAATTCTTTCCTTTAAATCCAGCTGGACACAGACAGCGAAAACCTTCTTCATTAAAACCGCTCTGGCATGTACCGTTGTTTCTGCAAGGGTTTCCCACACAAGCGCTCTAACGCAGAAAGGCAATTTCAGTGAAAAACGTTATCCCTTCGAGACCTAAAGTTTCCTATTCATATTTCTGCTTTATTTACATCCCCAGTAATCTACTTTGATAATAAAGTTCACGTTTTGATTTAGCTCTCAATAGTTTGTACCGCAACAAATATCAAGGAAAGGGATTCAAAAAGATAGTAAATTAAGTGATTTTTTTCTTCCCAGGATGAAAACATGATTTCGCGACATTTGAAAGAATCGAAACAAACCAACAAATATCATTGCAACAGAGTAACAGCGAACAAGATTCTTAACGTAAGTAAGTAGTAATGAGACATTCACCTCTACTGCATGGTAAGAGAAATTCGTGTTTGACCTCAACTCGTGTACACGCCCTTCGTGGGTAGCATTATTCAGTTCACATTTGTAGTTTCCATTCACATCTGGTTGTTTCTCAAGATTAACACTGACACAGTCTGGGTCCATAAAACACATCATTTTACAAAACTGCTTCAGCGTAACCTCAGCAACACGAATCACGTGATTTAGAAGGCGACTGCCGTCAAATGCTCTTTCAGGCCTAAACTCTATACTACGACACTGATCTGCGTCTTAACGGAACAGAAATATTTAACAAATCAGTAAATACTTCGTCTGGCTAAAATGATCATCAAACATGATCAGTGGAAGACGTAGGAGCATTTTAGTTCCCGATCAACTATTCTGAGGCTTCTCTCCCCCTCTCTTGTATGGAAGCGTAATCTATTTACGCTCCCCTAATCTCTGACATGGGAATTGGGGGCTACGCGATCAGACTTTCCTCTTCCCGTTTGAACAATTAATCTAACGCTGCACTTAGGGCGGGTGTCTAGACTCCTTAATTACATAGATCTCTTTTTCAAATATAAAATTTATTATTACAAAAAATAGGAATTTTTACCACTCACTGAAGTCAATAAACAATGAGGATTATAGTTTGATTCTTAAAATGTTAAATATAAGGACGCTGGTACTACGGAAGGCAAATTTTCACCAAATTTGGAATTTGAAAACATAGTCTGAAACAACACAGGCTAGATTGAAGTTTGTAAGATGGCGAATCAAAAGAAACTTAACCTTTTAGAATCTAAACCACCAATTTTTGGAGGAAGGCATAATTATGGATATCAATGAAAAAAACGTCACCAATATATCGTTTGTGTATGAACCTAACTATGTCACTAATTTAAGCAGCAGTCTAAAAAGTATTACAGCCTAGTGTCTTGGGCTGCAGATATAGACTTTGACAGAAAGGAAAGACCACTGTTTTGGAATCTCTTTTGCGCTTTTGTCAGCAGTCCTTGTCTGATTATTGTTTAACTCTTTAACATATCTGATCGAGGAGCCTATAGAAGTCGCCGATGATAGAAAATTCCAGTCAGTAAAATCTTAATTACAAATGAAAACATTTTCAGTTCCTGCGGGATAAAATCAGAAACATCAAGCAGCTAAAACACTTTGGTAATATGTTACTGCAAGAAACTTCGAGAACTAGGCTCAGTTAAATGGAGACTTGGTTAAGGGTCCTTTCCTTGTAGCTAATATCTTGGATGGCTCATCTCGGACGTGCTCGACGATCACGCGGGAGAAAATAAAATCAGGAACTTACCCATACATTATAGCATAGATTCAACGGCTTATGTGAACGCAAAGAGAACTAAAGATAATTTCCATAGGAATCTCCATCGTTTCTTTCGTCAGGAGGTTAGTTGTAACAATGACAATAATAATAATCATTATTGTAGTAAAAGTAACACTAATAATAATCGTAGTACTAACAATAATAATAATGACGATGATATAGAAAATAGTACACATTATTGCTTGTAGAAATGGAACTCTTCTTCTTGTGTTCAATTGGTTATCTCACGAGTGAGCGCATACAAGTAACATTGTCTTATTCTGTTTACTAATAGATAAGATAGGCCTCCGACAAACGACCTTAGATTGAGAATCTTGAACACTTACTATTCATTCGTCGACATGACAAAATGGTGCGAAAGGCGAGTGACACGTTAGCAGCTTATTGGCGATATTAAACACATAAGATATTACCGCAATTTTACACAAGTACAGTTACGGATTTCATAGGGTTTAAAATCCTTGTAAAACACTGCATTTTCTCAATGAAAATAAATAAAAATGACGGAAATCAAATTCTTTTTGGGGAAAATAAACACCATTAAACCTCAGGGAACAAATCCAACGCGATGCAAACTTTTGCTAACCGCCCTAAGGGCCAAAACTATATATCGATTTCACTCGGTAGAGAATGAATCCATTCCAATTTTTACGAGGGGCAGCCTTCTTGATAACCAGCTTTAACTATTCGAGTTACAACAAGTCTACAATGGAGAATAAGTTGGGAAGTCACCACAATTACATTCATTATCTCGAAAGTAATCTTAATCAAATTTCAAACTTTAACAGCTGCCAAGAAATTCTTATCGAATATTGATAAGTGCAATTTGTTGTTATTTTCCATCCAATTCAAAATAAACTGACAAAAAGGTTATGCTATTAATAATTGATCAACAAATAATTGTAGAAGTTTCTTCTACAGATATCTTGGAGTTCAAAATGAGTTTTAACTCAGCAGGAAGAGTCACACTGGATATTTGGCTCGCGGTTAAAAAGAAGGCGTTCTTTCCAAGATTGGTTATTGTCAGGTAGGAATATGTCGCTGAGAATCAACAATGCATAAGCAAATCCGTTTTTATGTAATTTACTCGGGGTAAAACCCATCAGAAAACCTTCCAACTACCATTTACATCACAGAAGAGTGCGTTGAGAAAATCACATTTTTCTTTTTAGTCTTTAAAAGCAACTCTCTTTTCCAAGATATTAATGTTGTCTACTGAGCTGCCTGATATTGTAACCTTTCATCTAAGAGTGTTGGTAAACAAATGCCACGAGCAACACGAACCCTCCACTTGTGATGCTTTTTTCCATTTTTGAAAGGAATATTCTTTATCATAGCCTTTGGCTGTTGAGCAAAAAATGTTACGCTCGCCTTAAGTTTAGAGTCATTTGCTGCGTTTTCAGCTTAAGGGTTAGAGGTGCAAGAATTCCCGGATGATATCAGCGATAACTTCAAGCTTCTCCTTCAAAAGCAATTTAAATTCATGTAAAAATAAATTTTTATGACAATCATTAATTATGTTCCCGAATTTTTTTTTTTCAGTTTTTCATTTCCTCTAGCTGAAAAGTGACAGTGCGAAAAAGTGTCAGTAATTGTTAATAAAACTACATAAGTAATTGGAAGGTTACAGATAACGTTGCTGTTGTCACATTTGGATCATCTTTTTTGCAAGGTGTTGTGGATCCTAACTAAGGTGCTGACGTAGTACACAACTTTTATCTTGTGAAGGTAAACTTTCCCTACTTTAAGGACAACTCAAAATAGAGCAGAAGGAAGCAATTGATGAAGCCACAATTTTTAGTCACAATTTTTGCGATCAGTTAGAAGTTATGCTGAGATTTACCTTGTAATCCGACTGCCCTGGACATCATCAGGAAGACAATTATCAGAAAAACACAGATACAAACGCAATGCATGTCAAAAAACACAACTTCAAAAATTTACTTGTGTTCTGAACTGAATGCAGAGCCGGATCTGACAAGCTTTTCAAACCAACATTAAATCTGATCTATGGTTTATTTTTTTGTTAAGAGAGCTTCTTTTGTCACCCATAGCCAATAGGAATTCGTCTGTTGCCAATCATGACCCACGTGAATTGTGTCAAAACGGCCGCCCATTGTTTGTTCACAGCCGGTGAAGTATGGTTTTATTACTTTGCTAATGACTACACACCTGCCTTTCTGTTCCACTTCTTTTTAAAAAAACCTTCCTCGGAACTTGCCCCGTCACCGAGTATTTCTGCTTGGTTTAAACGCAACATACTTGATGGTTACTTACGTGATCTTGCGGTGCATTTAAAACACTAGTCTCCAGCTGTCCTAGAAAAGAACATTGTCGAAGCCGGAAGGTTTCTGCTAGAAGAAAAAAAGGAACATTTACAAAATTTTAAAAACAAGCAAACACGTTACATATCAGCCCACGCTTAGTGTAAAAGCTACTCTATTCATAAGAATAATACCAATGTAATTGAAAAAGGACATTTTGGAATTATCGCACAAGACGAACACTAATAAAGAGGATAATAACTATAAACCTTTCACTACTCTATGCTCCAATATTTTGAAGTTATCTTCATTTTTGTTCTTTGTTTTTTTCCTCCGTTGGTTGGCAGATATTTTCCATCTCACGTATTTTCGCATCAGCTTTTAAAGCCTGGAGGCTGAAAGCGTACTTTATAAAGAAACGCATTTGAAGCTTCGACTGAGCGAAAATCGGAATAACTGTAGATTCTTCCTCGAACAATTCTTGCCAGGTTCAGAGAACTTTTTTCCAGAGATTTTCATAATCTCATATTATCTTATGGGTGTTACTGACTAACTACATTGGTGCTTTTCATCGGTGAACATGAATGTAATATCCCATCCATTACTGCGAAACTTGGATAAGAATTAAGTCATATCGAACGCGATTAACAATATCATCCAAGTTGCTAATGGAGATGTATACTTGAGTGCTAACTGTAAATTTTCTCCCTCAAACCTTCGCTTATCGTTTGAATTTTAATGGCAGCTGCGTTTCGTCCCTGAACCTGCTTTATATGACAGAGCTAAACAAAAAAGACCGAAATCCCATCAGAATGCCACCGATAATTGTGTCTGATTAATCACTGAAAAAGGTATTTCATGTTATATGTGGTGATATATCTTGTTACCTTGAAGACAGTTCATGACTGAATTTGTCGCCTTTCATGCCACAAATGCGATATCAAGGTTACAAATTGATTCCGATATGTAATTTACACCTTGGTCTATTTTTAGTCCATAGGAAGGTCAGCTCAATATAAACGAAGAAAGTTATTTCAATAAAGCACGATACGAAGACAGTGTCTAATGCATTGTGGTTTCAAATGGCGTCCCTAACTTTTTATTTTCCTAATGATGCAGTCGAGTCTATATTTTCTATCAGAGGGTTCCTCCCTACTCCCGGTTTTAAAGCTTTGGGCATTGCCTTATCGTTCCTCTCGCTAAATTATTTCGTGAATCCATTGTTGTGCTGCTGGAAAATTAGAGACGTGAGACGTGCAGCGAAGGACACAATGAGTAACTTGTTGTGCGTTTCGGTATCCACCACTTATTCTTCGTAAGTAACTGTGGATTTAAAACTATCAAAGTTGCAGGCTTGCTCATTACAACTGGCACTTCATGGATCAATTGAAAAAAATAAGTAACGAAACGAAGCAAGGAAATGCTATCCTGCGGGTGCCTTGGAAAAACTGGAGAAATTCGAGGCTATCGATGAAATTAGACCAATGGTTTTCATAAATTCAAACACGCCTGAGGCAGAAGAACTGGTAAAGAGGGAAATATCAAAAGATACAATGATTTATGAAGAAACCTTTATAAACTTGCTGGCGCATTTTTTCGACTAAGAGCAAACTGATTGAAAAGCTTAGGAAAACGACTACTTCGTCAAAATAAAGATGATGCTTTCA